TAGTCATTAATTATTAGGGTTCATTAAAATCAGTAAAGCTTGGCAGCGTTGATTTTCAAGGTCCCAGAAAGAGAAGAACATAGTTAATAGTACCTGGTGGAGAAGACTGGTTTTGTCCAGTTACTACTCTGCCACACCCTAAATTTTAACCGTAAGTCTAGTCATCTGTCCAAATAGGTACTCATTGCTCTTGCAGCTAAAGGGAGTTTCCTTTTTATCTTAATAATGGATGTGATTCTTACCACCCTTTGGTGATTTCACTTATCTACAAGAATGAATGACATCATTAGCTTCAAAATTTTGTTGGTGATCTCAGACTTTGTTTCAAGTACCAAGAGGAATGTGGCAATAAAAATAATAGCTAACATATATTGAATATGTCTTATATGATGGTTCCTATGTACAAAGAAAGCATTCTCAGCACGTGTAATTTGTATCTTGGAGCAGCCTTGAATGTCTGTCTTTTCCCTTAGTAGGTATCACTTTCTTTATGTTGCCTGAGGATTTTCCAGATATAAAAGGGAGAGAAACAAGGAAAGAAGTGAATTTTGAAAAGTTGATGGTGTCTTCTAAAGGGTTGAATTTGAAATTACCTTTATTCCTTAATGGAAAATACTATGATAGTGATTTATGGTAGTATTTGGTTTTATTAAGTATAAGATCATGCTTTTTGTTCTTCTTATATGGGTGCTCTCTTCTCTTTTGTACAGTCCTATCTCATTTTTTTTTTTTGAGACAGAGTCTCACTGTGTTGCCCGGGCTAGAGTGCCGTGGCGTCATCCTAGCTCACAGCAACCTCAAACTCCTGGGCTCAGGCGATCCTACTGCCTCAGCCTCCCGAGTAGCTGGGATTACAGGCATGTGCCACCATGCCCGGCTAATTTTTTGTCTATATATTTTTAGTTGTCCAATTAATTTCTTTCTATTTTTAGTAGAGACGGGGTCTCGCTCTTGCTCAGGCTGGTTTCAAACTCCTGAGCTCAAACAATCTGCCCGCCTCGGCCTCCCAGATAGCTAGGATTACAGGCGTGAGCCTATCTCATTTTTTATAAATGAGATTTTAAAAAAGAAAAATGAGGCAGTTATTAGGTGCCATGAGGATTGTATATGCTGAAATTACTGGCATCATTCAGGTAGCTGGCTTGGTGTTTTAAACCTTGAGGAATGAGAGGATGGAGGAAATGAAATAATAGGGATTAGTCTGAACATCCGATACCTGTGTTTGGTCACTGAGGACAGGTTTCTTTTCTGACTTTTGGATGTAAATTATACATTTTGAGGAGTTTGCATGTGATAGGAAATAAGGGCACTTCAGATTCAAGCACTTGCCTTCCTGAATAGGAGTATGCATGGGAAGAAAAAAGAGATTTGTTAGTAGTTGAGAGTTTGAGGGAGAGAAGTGGGGGAGGGATGAAGAAAGGAAAGGTTTGCAAATGTATATGACACTGAGCTAGAGGGGTCAGTGCTGCCTGCAGATGCACAACCCCATTTGTGCACTTGAGCATGGCCTGGGGGAGCATTGGCCTGATGAATGCAGAGAGAGATGCGTTTTGATCGAGGCCCTCAGATGGGTCCTGCCATCCCATGAATCAAAACCTGTCAGCAAAGAGCTAAAGATGGAGTGAAGTTTATTGTACATTTGTTTCCATGCGACACCGTCACGCTAGAAGGGTCACGTGAGAGAGATCATTAGAACTGTGTTGATTTACTGGGCCCGGTTGTGCACTTTCCCTGCAGGGCAAGGAGGAAAGAGACTTTAAGAGGGGTGCTGGGTAGGGAGGAAAAGGCAGGCTATTTGTGGGAGGTGGGGGAAGCTGTATTGTTATTTTTTCTCAGCCCCCTCCGGAGCTCCTTGATGGGTTTAGAGCAGATGCTCTCTCTGCCTGGATCTCCAGGAGAGGCACCAAAGATCTGATTTTAAAAAGTGAAGCTCATGAGGAAATCCCTGACACTAGCCTTAGTGGCTAGAGAAATGTATGTATTTCCCCTTCTTTTCCTGTTCCTTGTTCACTCCTCACCTTTGAGCTTACAAGGAAATACAGGAAATTTAATTTAGAATTCAAACTTCCCATTTCAGGATGTAACAAAATTAAAAGCCAGGAGGGGAAAAACTGTCTCACCCACGTTCCAAATGAAGATAGGCTTTGTGAGGGGAGGCCTTGGGTTTGTGCCGAGATAATGACTGCGTTTCAAAAGTAGCATCTCCTCTGTGGTTTGAACATTGAAATTGAATGAAAAAAAGATTCATAGTGGTAGTTCGGCAAGAACTGGGCTAGTGCTGCCTCTCCCCAAGAAGGGATGCTCCTTTTGTTCTCCCTGAAACTGTTCCTACTTGGCCAGGAGACTTAGTGAAATGGAGATACATCATCTAGAATATTCCAGAAGTTCTCATTTTCAAATCTCCATTTATATCCCTCATTCACTTTTAGTATAGCAGACAAAATCAAGAAAACTTTTCTCTTTGACTTTGGTAGTGAAAAATACAGTGGGACTTTTGTTGGGAATCCTCCTAATTATTTTATTATAGTTCAACAGATGGAATAGCCAATTAGCCAAAATTAGAAAAATTCAGCCGAGAAAAACTTTAGTACAAAATTACTAACAAAGCGGGTATGGTAGCGTGCCAGCAGTCACAGCTACTCAGGAGGTGGAGGCAGAAGGATGGCTTGAGCCCAAGAGTTTGCAGCTGCAGTGAGCTCTGATTTTACCATTGTACTCCAGCCTGGGCAGTACAGTGAGACCCCATCTCTAAAAAAAAAAATAAAAAGAAAAGATTACTAACTAGAGTCCTTTCCTTGGATTCCTGGTTAGTTATAAAGTGGTGGCATATGGTATGGTACCATGGGGATGTGATCCTAGTATTGACACAATTATTTGAGTGATGTGAGGTGGTTAAAGTAATTTCCTTTTAGCTAAGAGGTGGGGGGCAGGCAGTGTGATCCTTCTCCCTTGGGAATTAAGCACTTCATTCTGCTAATGTTCTTCTAAAAAAGTGCTTATGTTAAATACCTGAGGAGATTGTAAAATTAGGAAAGTAGATTCTTGAGTAAAAAAATGTCCTGAGTTCCAATCCAGGCTCTACAACTAAACAATTTGTGAGACTTTGGGCAAGTTGCTTAAACTCCCTAACTCTCAGTTTTCATATCTATGAAATGAATTTAATCACAGTGCCTACTTTTTTCTTGAAACCTGGCTCAGTGTTTTACAGTAGCTTGGGTGGCATTAATTAGGCACCCCCCCATGGATTTGCTGATGCTTATAGTGAAAAAGGTGGAAAACTGTGTAGGCGATAGTTTATTCTAGTAATACGCTGTGATTAAATAACTCATGTGTAGGATTTTTCACTCCTTCATAGCCACCATTCTTTTTTAGCACCTTTCCTACTCACTAGAAGGCAGTGCAGCAAAAGGGAAAAAAAATGAACATCTCTCTCAAGCTGAAAGAGTCAAAGTAAGACTGAGATAGTACTCCTGCCTGCTGTTTTCAGAGAGCTGGGCTAGTTAAATAAATTGAATACAGAAAGCTGAATCACTGCCCTGCTTTTGATTGTAGAGGTGGCTGCTGTGGTCATAGGGACAAAGGCAACTCCTTGGTTGGGGTTGACAGTAGAGGTATTGAAAAATTCCTGTGTTTCTGTAGGTCTTTTTATTTCCTCTGTGGTTTTGGGACACCCGGAGACACAGCCTGGCTATAGACTGTAGGAATGTAAATTCCTTGGGGTTTAAAAAACATCCAGCTCAGAAGCACCACACAGTTTCACAGTTTGTTTGAACTCTTTTGAGCTGGCCTCTGTTGGGTTAACTTTTATAAATAAAGTCAAAGAAACTGTCCTGCCCCATGGTGAGGATGGATATATCTGTATGGCATGGAAAGTCTCTTGAGACTATGAGAGGATGGAATCTTTGTATAGATGTGCCGAGTTTTACTTACTTATATATGTATGTGTATATATAGATAGATAGATATGGGGTCTTGCTTCATCACCCAGGCTGGAGTACAGTGGCACAATCATAGCTCACTGTAACCTTGAACTCCTGGGCTCAGGCAGTCCTCCCACCTGAGCTTCTTGAGTAGCTAAGACTACAGGCATTTGCCACCATTCATTGCCAGGATGTGCCAAGTTTTAGAAAATCCTTCTGGCAGGCGGGGGACACCTGGGGAACCCCCCTGGGTCTGAGCTTTTGATTACTGGTCACTGGATGGAAGGGAAGGTAGAGAAGGAAAAAATAACTGTTAAAGTGGGATAAATAAAGTGATAGGGTTTAGGTCCTGATGGGAATATATATGAGACTCTTATTGAACAGTATCGGATATAAATAGTAGCTTAGTCTTTAAAACACCTATTATAGGAGAATGGCCAGCTCCAACTCATGGTAAACTGAAACATTCTTCTCTACTTACTAGCCAGACATCATGAGTCTCATGGATGCTTAGAAAAGGTCCAGAGCATCTCAGATGACTGTAGCTGTCACCTTGACTCATCTTTTTTCAAAATCATTTTGAACTATTCAGATCCTTCTATAACTTTGCAGGGTGTTTCAAGCAAACACTTGGCTTTCTTTATAAATTTTTAAGAAATAACCACTCTGGCCCTCTTCCCCTTTCCTTCCTTGGTAACTTGTAATCAGTGTTCAACAAGTAGTTTGGGTACCTTCTACCAACCTGTTCTCTCCAGGTGTTACTCAGTGAAACCTCAGTTTTCCATATCTCTGAACTGCCAAAATCTCTTAAGCACAGCAGTTTGTTTTATGGGTGTTTCTTACCATTTCTTCATTTTACTCATCTTATTTTGTTTGTTTGTTCTGAGACTGGGTTTCATTCTGTTGCCCAGGCTGATCTTAAACTCCTGGCTTCCAGCAGTCCTTCTGTCTTGGCCTTCCAAATTGCTAGGATTACAGGTGTGAGCCACCCCATCTGGCCTCTACTTGTTTTATGAGTATTGAGGCCCTACCTAAAATTAAGTTTTTAGTTATTCTACATACAACATGCTGTATGCTAGCTTGTTCCATTTCTTACCTGTCTTTACTGTTTGTGTGATCCTTAGTTCTTGGCACAAGGTTGGCTGGCACATCATGACCAATAAGTTACAGTTTCATTCCCATTTACTTTGTGAATGGAGGCTAGTTTGTCTCACCCTTTTCTTTGTCCCTGAATAGTCTGAAGATGATGAGAAACTGAAAAAGAGGAAGGAGCGATTCGGGATTGTCACAAGTTCAGCTGGTACTGGAACCACAGAGGATACAGAGGTAAAATATACCTAGAATGTTTCATAGAGCTCTTAAAGGGAAATGAAGGTGAATAAACTGAGTGGAGAAACAGTTTCCCCCACCTACTTCTTTTTGAGGCAGAGTCTCACTCTGTTGCCCAGGCTAGAGTGCCATGGTGTCAGCCTGGCTCACAGCAACCTCAAACTCCTGGGCTCACACAATCCTCCTGCCTCAGCTTCCCAAGTAGCTGGGACTACAGGTGCGTGCCACCAAACCTGGCTAATTTTTTCTGTTTTGAGTAGAGATGAAGTCTTGCTCTTGTTCAGGCTGGTCTCCAGCTTCTGGCCTCAAGTGATCCTCCCGCCTTGGCCTCCCAGAGTAATAGGGTTACAAGCGTGAGCCACCGCGCCTGGCCACCCAGCCTACTTCTTAAGTGCCCAAATAACAAGATTATTTTTCCTTTTTCTTGATAACTTTTCTCTGGATGAAGTGGTCACACTGAATTTCATCAGGATATCAAATTCAATGTTAGAGTCTATTAGACTAGTGGCAAAGAGCATAAGATTTGGAATCAGATAGGCTTGGATTTAAAACTGGCTCTGGGCCGGGCGCGGTGGCTCACGCCTGTAATCCTAGCACTCTGGGAGGCCGAGGCGGGCGGATTGTTTGAGCTCAGGAGTTCGAGACCAGCCTGAGCAAGAGTGAGACCCCGTCTCTACTAAAAAAAGATAGAAATTATCTGGACAACTAAAAATATATAGAAAAAATTAGCTGGGCATGGTGGCGCATGCCTGTAGTCCCAGCTACTCGGGAGGCTGAGGCAGTAGGATCGCTTGAGCTGAGGAGTTTGAGGTTTCTGTGAGCTAGGCTGATGCCATGGCACTCACTCTAGCCAGGGCAACGGAGTGAGACTCTGTCTCAAAAAAAAAAAAAAAAAACTGGCTCTGCAATTTAGTATTAATAAGTTATAGTACCTTCCTGGGCCTCAGTTTCCTCATCTGGGAAATGGAAATAATATACCTACCTCAAAGTGGCATTTTAAGAGTGAAATGAAATGATTCTGTGCAAAAGGGATAGTTCTATGTAAAATACTTGGGATGATGCTGTCATATTGTAAATATTCAATAAGTAATAGTGTCTGTTATCTGCTGGGCATATTTATTTTGATCATTTAGTGAAGGCCATCTCCAAGCCAGATACATGTATAGTTGTGCCTGACTCCCCTTTGGAATAGGACAGTGGACTCAAATGAAACTTCTCTGTCTTACTACTTTGTTTACAGATAGTTTCTCAAAATGAAAGAGTGGCCTTTTTTTTTTAAAACTTGTGTTCATTCATATCTCAGGTTCCCCTGGGGTAACTCACATTCGCTAAGATTGATCATTTGACAGTGTTTTGCTGATTTGAGAGTATTATGGAGACCAAGTGTCACCTGGGGTGTACATAAAGAACAACTGAAATAATATTGAAATAATGAATATTTTTAGAATTATAGAAAGCTTCTTGCATGGCAAGGAATTTAGAATTGTCCTTGCTTCCATTTAATCCAGGTTTACTTCCCTATATCTACCTCTGGAGATATCCTCTAAAAATCTATTACCTTACACACTCAAAATCTTATGAAAAGTCTTTTTATGAATAAATATCACAGTCAATCTTATAAATAAGCCCTGAAAATTTTAGAATCAGATCAGTTTATACTCTTCACTAGGAAGAAACTGAAGGAGTTTGTATTCTTTGTGCTATTGAGAATAAAATGCCACTTGTTTAAAGTATTTGCTTATTTACTGACTTACCAGGATGAGCTAGAAGTAATCTTATGCTCATTTTAATTCTTGTTAAAATTACTCCCTCCTTGCCAAGGAAACTATTGTTAAACCAGGCATGCTCACTAAGTAGGTGTTAATACATTTGGTCTCTCCAAGTTAAAGATGATGAGGATTTTGTTGGATAGCAAGGAACAGTGGCTTTTGTTGGGAGAGTCAGTGTATATAAGGGATTAGTAATTTTTGAGACTGATGGAGTTTACATGAACCAGATGATTTTCGTTTGATTCCAAAGAATTGTGTCACTGTTCTAGGTAGAGTGGGCTGCGCTTGTGTGCATTCAACTTCCTTTTAATTTATATTAAATCTCATATGTGAATGGGATGAAAAAATGTCCCCTCTTTTATGGGGGCAGTGGTTGGGAGTGTGGATGAAGGATTCAGTACTGTTTTGTGAGTCACTCCCAGAACAGAAAAGCTCCCTCCTTCACCCCACCCCACCCTACTTTTGTGCCCTTTCTTTGATGCTTCCCTTCCTTAAGAGATCCATGACAGGGACTCACCTGCAAACACCACCCTCAATTTACTCTGCTGGCATTGTAGATTTATATGGCTCTGCGTAATGTTGGGCTAAGGAATAGCCACTGTCTGGGCCAGACTGCTCACAAGGGCATCCCCCTCACCTTCTCCATGAACTGCGTTAGTTAACCCTTTGTTCTCTGAAATCTCCCATCTCCCCAGTGATTGGAAGACTTTCCTTAGTCTGTTAAGAGCATTAGTTTCTAGACTAGCCTGCTCTAAGGCTGAGTAGCCCTGTCTCCTTCAGGAATCTTTCCATTTTCTACCACTTTTCTCCTCTCTGCACCTTCCCCCTTCCATAATCTTCTTTCCTCATACTCCTTTCCTATTAAACCTTATTAGCTCTAGCTGGATAACTGGAGAGATTTAGGAATGAAATCTCTGGCTGCCAAGATTTCAAGTTTGGGCTATCCCTCCTTCTTCGACCTTGTGACAATTCATGTGAGTTTGGGTTAAAGCAGCCAGGAACCCAGGCAACTGCTTTCTTGGAATCTAATTTTTTTCTTCTTGCTTTTTCCTTACAGGCAAAGAAGAGGAAAAGAGCAGAGCGCTTTGGGATTGCCTGATGAAAAGTTCTTGATGTTTTCTATTCTCCAGTGTTTTCAATTTCTCTGATTCTTCTGATCACACATATATCTAAATGCACAGTCATGTGCTTACATCTTGCCTCGCAGTGAGGGAGCATGTACCCCAGGTACATCTGTGAACTCCAGCAGCAATTTGACTTATTGCTGTTCAGACTCTAAGGTGGTTGTGTTTTTGTTTTTAATTAGTTTGCTTGTTAATAAAAAAAATAGAAAAGAGAACAGTGTGTTTTATTAGGTACTCCTTCGATTTCTTTGAGCCAGATTAGACCAGATAAGGGGAGCTTTGGGGGAAAATATTATAGGGAATTAACCATAATGTCTTTATCCCTTAGAAAAGAAGACAAGGAAGAGGATTGAGTTTACTCTTTAAGCCTATTTATTCCCTTTTTCTCATACTCACAGGCATTCTTTTACCTCTTTATCCTCTGGGAACAGGCCAGGTTACTCCCTGAGTTTTTGCTTCATGTTGGAGTAACCCATTATAGGGAGAACACAGGAGGTTTTAGGTGGTGCAGAGCTGTGGCCCCCAACTCCTAGGCCAGGGAACAGTACACCCAGCATGTTAGGGACCTGGCCTGGGCCGCAGGGCTCCACCCCTCCCTCGCCTACCATCAGTGGGAAAATTATCTTCCATGAAACTTAGGAGGGGGTGGGGGTGCCACACAGCAGGAGGGAAGCCAGAGCAAGCAGGGGCAAGGCAAGCTAGTGAAGCTTCATCTGTATTTACAGCCGCTCCCCGTCACCTGGCATCACCACCTGAACTCCCCCTTCCCCCACACCCACCCCTCCCTGGAAGAATTGTCTTCCCTGAAACTGGTCCGTGGTGCCAAAAAGGTTTGGAACTGCTGGTGCAAGGGATATAAATGCAAGGGCTAATGATTGCAGTCTTCTGTTACGAGCTAGTATTGAAGCCTTTTTCTTGGATAAAATCACAGTAAGGAGAAGGGCCCTATTTTCAGGAGTGGCCTGGTGTGATACTTTGTGGTTCTAGCAGAAGCCAATATGTAGGACCTTGTTGGTTAGGCAGTCCAGGAAAGGAGATGGGCTGGATATGCCTCAGAGATAGAAGAAACTATAGGGATTCAAAGCATGACAAAGGATGTCAGTGATGTTAAATGTTATTAACTAGATCATTGGGAACATAAGCAGTGGAACTGGAGGCTTCTACTTTCTAATCAAACCTTTTTGTCCTCTTCTGTTGCAAAAGGATAATACTGCAGTGTTAGTGGTAATGTTTTTTAGATGTTACTAAAATTCATTTTCCTTGCTGAGCCTCCTACTTAGAGAACGTTTGACTCTCCCAGAGAAGGCTGTTTGTTTGCATTTGAAGTTCATGTAGATCTGAGACCTACTACTTCATCATTTTGGATGTGTTAATATGGGGTTTCTCCTCTAAATCTTTATATGTGGACATCTATATAAGCTTGGTTTTGGGAGTTTTTTGGTAATAAAACTCAGGAGCCTGGCACCTTACATGAGGACTTTGGTACCATAATCAGATCCCTTGTTGCTGTGGTGTAATCCTGTCTCCTTATTTCTACCGAACCCTGCCTCATTTTGTGATTAGTAGAAAGGTAATTGTTTGATGACCTTCTTAACATGAATAATTTCTATTTCCACAAAGTCCCTGGTTGGTGAGGAAGGCAGAGACCTTAAGTTTAGACACTTCAGGAAAACTGCCTTAGAGAGCAGATCCAGAGATTTCCCATTTGTTGTGAATTTTGCCTTATTCTGAGACCTTAGTGAAATGAACAAAAGGGAAAGCTGGTTAAATTTTTGACACCTCCTCAACCAAATAAATCTTACAATTGGAGTGACCTTCCCTCTCTTCCCACTGGTCTCTTTTGTCTGCCTCCCTTTTCTTTACTTCAGGCTCTAATCTTGGGGCTAGCTTTACCTCTCTCTACTCCATCTTCACCAGAACCAGAGAGAATAGTTCTGTTTTGTAATTTGAGAGAGATTATAGATTCAGTAAGGGTTTCTACCCCAGGATGGTTTAAAAAAAAAAAAAAATAGGTAAGGGACTAGAGCAGATGCTGATAATGAAACGGAGCATTGGGTCCTTCAGAAGTTTTCTTCACTTTGTCTCTATCCTCCATAACTTTCCAGAAAGGTATTCAACCTTACTCCCCAGGATTCTCTTAAACTTAATTATTCTCCTTACTTAGCTCACTTTCCCTAGATCTTTAATACAGTGTTTCCCAATTTGTCAGGAGTTTTTACTAACCTTTTTTGTCCCATTTCAGCAGCTGTTCATGTTGGTCAGAGCCTCTAACCTCCAAGCCTGATCACCAAATCCTCCTCTTCCTGTGTCATTGTAATCATTCCACACATACTTTTTGAGCATGTGTGGATGCCTGTGTCTTTTTCCTAATTCAATCTTAAAATACTCATTTGGAGACAGAACAGACATTGAAGCTTGTAATTTCTTATCTGGGATCCTAGAACCCTTCCTTCGTATCCCCCAGTCTCCCTAGTGTAGCTGATCCAGCATCCAGATGTGGTTAGCTGACTTCAATCTTCTTTTCCTTGTCCTGAAGCTGTGACATTCTCTGCATACCTGGAAGCTTTTAATGAGGGAGACTATAAAAGCTGTGGAGAGAACTAGCTTCCTCAGCTGTAAATCTGCACCTTTTTATGGTTCTCTAGGATCATTCTTTTTCTCCACCATCACTCGAAACTGCCCTTCCCCCCACCCTAACTTTTGAGACCTGCTGAAGATAGAAGTTAGAAGCTTCTGTGGGAATGAGGGCTAAAGGAAGGAAGATGTGGGTGAGGGCAGGACTTCTTCGTGTTGGGCTGAGTCCTGTTGCTATGTCTCACTTGAGAAACACAGATGAGGAGGGAGGAAGGAACTTACATAAATAAGGGAGGATAATTGTTTTTCCCCTGTTCTCTTGTATGAGGGCCTCTGACAAGCAATGCCACTTACTTCTGATTACTGAAATTCCCCCAAAATCTAACCTCTCCATCTCTTGCCATGTCCAGACTGTTCATGTTTTCCCCTCAAAAGGGATTGAAAATGACACGTTTCACATCTTTGCAGACCCTTTGAGCCCAAGGTGTTCCCAACTTTCTCATTATCTCTTTCCTCTCTCTCTTGTCCCCATATTTAGTTTTTCACTTCTCAGATTACTGTTAATAGATTAGAATGTAATATTGTATAGCAATGACTTGGGTTTAATTTCTTGTTCTACCACACTAGCTGAGACCCTGGGCAAGTACTTAATTATCCTGTGACTCTGTACCAATAGGAACTCCATTGTGAATGTTGCCATGAGAGTTAAGTGATATTATCATATTATGTACTCAGTACAATTTGTTTACCACAATTTAAATAGCAATCATTCAGTAAACATTAGCTCTTAATTTTACTCAGTTATTAGGGTACAGTGGAAATTTTTTTTTTTCACTGAGTAGCTTCCAGCTAGGGTGAGGACTAGTTTGACCATGTGTATGTGTGCACATGCCTGGTTATACAGTTGTATTTAAGACTAGGAAAAAAGTTAGGAAGAGTCCTAGTTGTTCCCTCAAGCCCAGCCAGCTCACTCACCAGAAAGCTAACTCTCCTACTTCTTTGCCGCTACAGAACAAAAGCTGTAAATTCCACTGCCTGCTGATTCTTAGCTTGGGGCCTCTCACATCCAAAATATGGGCAAAGGCAGAGTATAAGACAGCTGTTCATGCATTGGGTTGGATAAGGAAAAAAAACTTAAAAGTCATCTTGTAGTCTCTACTGGGTGTTCTCTGAATGTGGGAAACAATTGAGCAGTTAGAGGAGAAAACCCATTTTTGGCTCAGGCCAAAAGCTAGGGGTAAATGTGGATAAAGTAGTTCTCTTGGGAAGATACAATATGTAACATTTTCGTTACTCAACCAGTACCAACCTCAGTCTTGTAGTTGGTTTGGGTGGGGTCAGTTTTCTGAAAGAGCTGGCAGGACGGAAAGCATGGTAGCACATTGAACTATTGGTGGCCCTGTCCCCAATTCTGGGTCAGGTTGTCACAGGAGCTTTCCTTATTTATTTATTTTACTTTAAATTTTTTTTTTGTTTTTTGTAGAGACAAGGGTTCTTGTTGTTTCCCAGGCTCTTCTTCAAACTGTGCTCAAGTGATCCTCCTACCTTGACCTCCCAAAGTACTGGGATTACAGGCATGAGCCACCATGCCCAGCCCTTATTTATTTATTCTTTTTGTGAGTCAGACAAGATTCTTTTGCCATTTCCAACTTACACGTTCTAGGAATTGTGCTCTACATACATGAAAGAAATTTTTATAGTAGACTCAGAATATTTGAGATGCTTTTGACCACTCTTGTTACAGTCAAGTTGAATGGCTATGTTGGTTTGGTTTATGGATTTTTGATAAAACTTTGTTGAGGAAACCTAGGATCAGGGACTGCAGGAGAGTAAGATAGACATTAGCTGGATCATCTCAAGAGAACTTTGAGATTTTCCATTCTGTGGAGGCTGGGGAAAGGGTTTTTGCAATCTTTGGGATTGTTTTGGATCAATCTCTCCAGAGAAGGGTTGTTTTACGTGCCCTCCCTTTCCCTTCCTCTGCCCATCCTCCCTTGGATAGTGTGTCCCAACCCTCATCCCACTTGCCCATAGTGTTTTCTCTCTTGCTCCCAAGGATCTCGTCGTCTTAGTCCTTGAGCATAAGGTTTCCTCTCTCAGATCTTCTTTGCTTCCTGGTCTCTGAAGTATAAATGTGGCGCTTGATTATAGGGAGAAGAGCTCAGCACTGAATTCTAAACTCTTTAACTGCTTTTATTTTTCTTTTTTCAGGTTCAAGTGCTGGATTGTGTCATGTGACCATCCCAAAACTCAGAGCACCCTATGGCCATCTTTGCCCTCTGTCACATAACTTGAAAACTGCCTGATGGCCTTTTTGCAATGGTTCCCTCCAGGAAGCCTTGATCTCAGTGAAGAAGTCCTTTCCCGGCATTCCAGTGCCCCTGTCAACCCCCACACTCCTCAGACATCCTTAACAAACAAAGGCTATCACGCACACGATGTAACAAATACACAAAGTAAATAATAATTACACTAATGATATGTTCGGAGGGGCACTGGCCAGGTCCACACACAGGTGGCAAGGGGGTTAGCTCCCACTGGGTTGCAGAGCTATGCCCCCAAGCCTCTTTACCCCATGCCTCTTTGGGGCTAGGGAGGAAGAGGGGAATGAGACTTCAGCTCATAGATTTATGTTCATAAGAGAAAGGCCTCCCTGCCCCCACAAAGGTCTTTATTTGGTGGTATTAAAGAGGCAATATTCTAAGTGTCCCCCACGTTTAATGCCCCAGCTCTCTACAATCTGTAGAGGGAAGTTACCTGATGCTTATTGCCCAACCTCTACCCTGTGCCAAGATCAAGAGACATTTGACCTTGGAGGGAGTCATCTTCTGTTCACTTCTCTGTTCCTCTCCTTCCCCTATGGAAATGTGAGTGGTGTTGATGGTCAGGTGTGTCTTGTTCTCCAAGATTGGGGCAGAAGGAAGGATGAAGAACAGGGGCCAGAGAGGAGAGGCTTGGGATTAACATAGCTGCTATATGGGAGAAGGCAAATTGACAAGCTTAACAGCCCCCGTCCATTTCTATACTGAAACACCTTATTTCACTTTCTCATTATGAGAATAGGAATAAGATGCTAAAGCTCACCACCATCACCTTTTCAAGGGTGGTCACAGACCTTTACCTCTTCTACCGTCTGGGCCAAATGGGAGAGTCATGCTCTCAGGAAGAACTTGCCTTCCAGGTCTGTTATCCAGGTCAGGCTTTACTTTCATTTAGTACTGTTTATATCAGACCCATAACTGCAGGCTCTACTTATAATGATAATTTTGCTGAAGGTCCTTCCCCCCTCCTCTCCTGACATCCTCTAGGCTCTTGCCTGGGGCCAAGAGGTCTAGTCTGGTGGTGATGTATGGATGGGGTGTGGATTAGATTCTCAACTCCTTGGCTTCAGGCACTGTCCAGCTGGGAGGCAGAGGGAAACTTGTACTCTGAAGCCTGTGACTCTTCTAAGCCTCATATCTCTTCACCACTACTCTGGTGCCCTGGTTATCTGTCCCACAGCGAGAGGTATTTTATGTCCATAAAGTGCCCGTGGTAAGTGCTCAGAATTCATCTCTTGGCTGTGGCGGGTGCTGCTATTTCTCATTCCATCGAGGGGAAGAAACTGAGGCATGGTGAGTCTAGAGGCGGGTGGGTCAGGATTGTGGGAGGAATGAATGGGCCTAGCTAGTGACTTGAAGTGGCAATGAGTCTCTCCCTGCTTCCTAGCCTTCCAAAGCAGGGAGTCTTCATCCTTCCCATCCTCTGCTCTAACTGGCCTTGGCAGATGCTTTTCCCTGCTGTACTTAACTATCCCCTCCCTGCTGTCAGGTACTGTTAGATTCCAAAAATAAAAGGTAAAAATAATTATAGACACTCTGCTCCCTTGTTCTCCCCCCTTCCACCCTGAGCTTTGGGGTTGGGGGACTAAAATGTCCCCCCTCCAGAATCCCTTCCACCTTGGTCTGCTGGCTCTATTCCCTAGCCCAGAGCAGTGATTTGGATTCAAATGCCCTGTGACCTTCAGCCTCCTTACTATTCCTTTCTTGACCCCTCCTAACCCTTACCAGACCCAGGGGACTCTGGGATCTCTATACTCTCATTTTTATTGACCTGAAGATAGAGGCTGGGAGCAGGGGCATTCCACAGGCTCTTTGGTCTCTCTCTTGGCTGAGGGAATTTGGGCATATGCAGGCTGCACCCTCTGGCTAAGTAACCCAGTATCATTGAGGGTGGACCTGAGGGTTAGTTTAGTGGCTCTCCTTATATAGATCCTGGATGTTGAGGGTTCCAGCCTGCTCCCCTCCCCACCCCCTGCTCTTAAACCCTAACCTCATACTGTTTCCATGACAATTGGCTTCAATTCAACCTGTTTGGCTCAGAAAGATTGAGTTAGGGTGATTATGGGTCAGAAACTTCCATGTTAGCCCTCTTGCCCTTTACTCCCATTCCCAACCCTGGAGGCTTTATACAAGTGCTTAAGTGGGTGGGTATTGGGGGAGAGCAGGGTTTGGCGAATAAGGGATAAATGGGGCACAGTGGGCAGGGGGCCCTCCTATTCCAGTAAAGCCAAATACCAAAAAAAAAAAAAAAAAAAGAAAAAAAACCAAAAAAAAAAAAAAAAAAAAGGAAAAAGTCACAATAAATAAATAAATAAAATTCCCAAATCCTTACTTTTACCCCTGCCCTCACTTCCCTTCCCTTGGCCACTGTTGGAGGGAGAGAAGGAAGAAGCTAAGAATAGATTTTTGATTTCCTCTCCTACTGAGTAGTCAGGGGATCTCCCCAAACTCTACCAAGCCCCTCACTTTGCCAGTGGAAGAAAGGAAGCTTGGTGTGGGGCTTTCATTTATTACTCCATTTCAGTTCCTTTCTCAGTGTTTTGTCTCTGCCTAGTCTGTCTCTTCTGCCTGTCCCTCCCTTTGCCTTCTCACTGCTGCTCTTTTTGTTCCTGTCTCTATTCCTCTGTCTCTATCTCTGTCTCTACATCTCTCTGTCTTCTTGCCAAACCTTCTCATCTGCAAACTTCAAACAGTCCCCAACCTGACCATTCCCCTCCTTCCTCTTTCCCCCAAACCCCTCACCCCTCAATCCCCACCTGCCTCCCTCTGTTGTATTGCACACTGCTTGGTTGGGGAACAAGGTGTGATGTTCATGGGAAGAGGTGGAGGGAGCTCTAGGGCTTGGGGGGCTGGGGGCCTTGGGGTAGGGTCTGTCGGGGAGGCATCCTCAGTCCCCCACCTTAAGAACAGCCACAGCGATCCACCACCATGCCAGGGATCTTGCCGTAGATAATCTGCTGCTTGTCATTGAAGTAGAGCATGTTGATTGGGGACATCTTGGTGGGGGTACAGCAGGGCCCAGCAGAGCCTCTTGGATTGGCCTGTTGCACCAGGTGGGTGTGTGGATATTTTTGCATGAACATGTACTCGCACTGGCCGGAGCAGTAGTTGGCCTTGTAGCGTTTAGGTGCGATGATCCAGTCCCAGCCGAAAGCCTCAAAGTCCACTGTGAGGGGATATCGGCAGCAGCGGGACTCGCTTGAGTGCTCATCGCAGTCCAAGCCCAGGTTCCGCCGGGAACGTTTTGTGTTCTCTAGGACTCGAAGCTCCATGAAAGGATGCTGAGGAGCAGGGAGAGGGGAAAGAGATGTGAAATAGCCCTGAACCATTCCTCTTCCCTGTTCCTTGCTCACCTGCCTCTCAACAGGGGCACCAGAATAGAGACCATTGACTTCTCAGCTTTTCCACTGCTCCCATTCCCACATCTTATCTTCTGTCCACTTTTCTTGCCAGCTAGCCATCTCTCTTTCAGCTCACCTTCCCTAATTCTTTCTTCCTTGGCAACCTGACCCTCATCAGCCCTTTGGCCCAGGGCCTCACCAATGGCGAGTTTCTGTTTTCCCACGAGTCTCCCATTAACTGACTGACACCTTCACCTTCAAATTCAGTTTTCAGCTGTTGTCTGGCTTGGATCCCTGAAAAATGATAGTTGCCACCCCCCCCACAACTCCTCTAGAATCAGCTCCTGGCCTCAGAGAAATAATGCTAGTGCCCAGCTCCCTTCACATTCCTGGTCTACCTTTTCCAACATCCCTATCTCCTTAGGGCCAGGTTACACATATACACCACCACCTAAGACCCCCTGCTCACCAGCCCCTCAGCTCCTGGCCCCAGGGAGGTGACAGCCAGATCTGTGCCACTGGGATCAAAGGCGTTGATCTCGATGCCCCAATTGCTCTGTGGCTGGCGGAACCAGCTGTGTAGCACTTGCTTGAAGTCGATGCTCTGCCAGTGGCCAGAGCGAGAGTGCAGCTCAATCTTCAGTGAGCGGATACGGATGTGACGCCGGCCTCCGCCCCCTCCCCCTGCGGTCCCTTCCCCAGTTAGGGGTTTCAGTCGCAAGATCTGCAGGTAGACTGTGGCTGGACGGGGCACGGGCCTCAGGTACACCCACAGCTGAGCCTTCAGTACCTTTGTGAACATCACCTTGGGGCTGAAGTGGAAATGGCAGCAGAGAGGGCTGCCATCTGTCTGCACTGCTGGGTCCGCTGGTAAGAGAGAAGGGAGCACAGCATTAGCAAAGGGCACTTGTGGAGACCATCAGCAGCCCTGGGTGGCACTGGCAATTTGGACTCCTCAGCCTGAGTTTTCCAATTCTTTACCCTTCTCCCATGCCGGTCTTATTGACTACTGTGTCTCTGGTACCCAAAACACGGCCTCCTCTCCCTTCATGGCCTTGTCAGGCCTTACTGATCTGTACCCATTCCCTAATCCATTTGCCCTAATGCATAGGTTCCCCTCTACCAGATAACCTGCTAAGATAGTTATCAGGGGATTCTCCCTCCACCAGCCTCCTTTCCTTCCTACAACTTTTCCCAGCTTGTAGAGCTCCAACTTTTTCTGAATCTTTGATGGTCTTCATAGAAGTCATCCCTCTTATCCTTAGGTCACCTTGCCCCCTTTCTGCTCTGATTTGTCTGATGGGCACGTGGAGCTTGGCACAGCCCTCCCCCCACCAAAAAACACAGTCTCAGAGGGGATAACCCAGGGTCCAGATAGGGAACATGGGCTAAATTAATCCCATTAAGTAAACCAGAATTCAGATCTATACTTCTTGCCCCACTCCCATTAAGAATAACACACCCAGCAGAATGGAACTAGCCATGTACTTCCTGTACATCTGTCTCTCCATTCCCTCTCCCCTAAGAACAAGTTTCCTCAGCTGTTTCCTCCTTACCATCACCATTACTGCCCCAGCTCTTGAAGAAGGGAAAAACTACCTCCCTATTGTTTCCTCCTATTTTCCCCGAGCATCAGAAATAATCAACACAGCAGATCAACTATAATCAGTCCTCTTTTCTCACCTGAGCTTCCTTTCACTTGGAGTGCCAGTAAGTCTTTATAAAGGTTCAACATCCCAGCTTTACATTTTGCCCCATTTCTCCTTGCTCTAGGCCATAAACTGACCCTTCTTGGGTCTAAAGGATGATGCTCAATACATAACTGTTTCTGCTTCCATTCCATCTCCTCCCAGTTCCCCTTCCTAACCTCTTAAATCAGTTGGGAGTGCCCTATATCATGTCTTCATTGGACAGAAATATCCATTCTCACTCTAGATAGGGAGAATCAGGAATGAGCTTCAGAGCCATATAAAATATGGTCAGGAAGTCTAGGCCCTTAAGTATGTCCAGATCTCACGTTCTTCATAATCATGAAGGACTTATCATGTTGTCTCCCACCAGCACTTTCCCTTACCCCCACCCCAGGAAGAGGACGCTTCAAGTGAGATGGAGAAGAAACAAAGTGCTTAATGATCTTCATATATTCAGGACATGATACACAAAAGTCCCTCTGTAGCTTCTTTTTCCTTGATTCTTCTCTGAGGTCCCAGGGCTCTGGTAGTCCTTCCAATTACCCTACTGGCTGGATCTTCAGTGATGATGCAATGGCGTAGGGTTTGGGGAGTGAAGATTCAGAGTTTAGGAGTAGCTGGGGCAGGGAAGATACTGGTGAGATGGGGAGTGACAAGAAACGTTCCAAATGTCATACTATGCCTAATTCCAGCATAGGAATTGTCTGTTTTCTTGCCTTTAAGTACTAATGTCCTTGAGCCACTGTTGATACTGGGTCTATTTTGCTCACCATTGTAGCCTTAATGCTTCCCATAGTACCAGGCAGTACTTGATAAATACATGCTGAATGAACTCACTAAACTCCCAAGCTTAAATTATACAGGTAAGTATCTGAAAATTCTTCCTGGCATTTAAGATGTTCTCTGGCTACAATTAAAGTGGGATTAATCACTGACTCCTTGTTAACCAATATCTCACCCACCAAATTTCTCAGTGTGCTACAGATAATAATTCTTGCTTCACAGGAGTGCTCAACATTAAATAATGTGAAAACAGTAGTAGCTTCTCAATAAATGTTTGTTTGTTGGTTTTCTAAACTCAAAACCTACCCCTCTACCTAAGGTGACCCAGTGTTTGAAGGTGAGAGACTAGGCACCAGGGCCCCATCTGAGTCTTTGGTTTCTTAAACCAAGAGTCCCCCATCTCAATCCCAGGGAATTACCATACACTTGTCCCTCAGCAGATATGGGGACAGGACATGGGGAAAAACAAGGGAAAGGGGAAGAGGCAGGAAAGAGATTTGAGATGGCGAGGGAGATACTAGAGAAGAGACTGTTAGGGATGAAGGCAAGTTAGAGCAGATAGGCAGAGAAATATGGAGCCCAGAGTAGAATGAGAGAGGGGAAGATCATGGTAAGAGGAGATGAAATAAGTCTGGGAGTTGGAGAACACTGGGAGGAGGATAGAGGAGTGAGTGGGGGTTAGGAATCTAAAGGTGGGAGGGAGCTAAACATAGTGGGGTAAAGAAGAGAAAGGATAGAAAGGGTACAGAGTGAGGAACAAAGAAGAAACAGGTAGAGCCACAGAGGGAAACTGGGGGCTTGAGAGAGTCCCCAACACACACATAGGCCCAGCTCCAGTGGGGAGGGGAAGGGGCCACATCTGTGTTGGATTGATCGGGTTGATGGCAGGCAGCAGGTCAGGTTTAGTAGGCTGCGCTGGTGGAGGAGAGAGGTCATTGCACTATTTTCAGCAAAAGCCCAACCTCCTCCCTGCACACCACCTCCCCTTCCCCCCACCCCAACCCCCCAACACACACACACACACACACACACACACACACACACACACACACACACACGCACTGCACACACTCCCAACCCAGGCAAGAAGGCCTAGGGGCAGGAGGTTGGGCTGAGAGGGCAGGGGCCTCTTGGTGTGGGGAGGAGAAAGAAACTCAGGGGCTGGGCTTGGCTCCCAGAGGGCAGGGGGCTGGGTTCCCAGGATGAAGGCTGGGTAGGAGAGCCTGAGAGGGTAGAGGGAACTAGGGCAGGCAGAGCAGCCTTGGAGAGGTGGGGGCTGGGGTCCAGGGTTGAGGGCTGGGGGAGGGGAGGAAGGGGGAGGGGAACGGAGGCCATCTCTGCTGACAAACACCTCCCCCGATTAGCAGAGCACAAGTCTCTTATTAAAGCGGGTCCCTGGGGATTAGACTATAAAAGTCTCTTTTTCCTTTTCCCCCCCTCTCCCTCCCCTCCCCTCCACTCCCCCTCCCTCTCATAAGAGCTCAGCTAAGCTCTTAAAGGGGACGTACAATACCTGGCCGGAGACCTAGTTCCCTAGTTATCCAACTCCTGTGGTGGCATGGGGGTGGAAGTTGGGATGGGACCCTACCTGCTGTTGTGTGTCCCCCCCACCCCAGGCCTAACCTGCACTGCCCAATCCATGCATACAGGGCCCATTCACTTCCTGCATCCCCATTACCAGAGCTAAGTCTGGGTTCAGGCCTGTTGGCTAAGTGATGCTAGGAATAGTGAGGGGCAAGGGTAAGTCCATAGCCCCATCACCCATCCTAGAAATCCTCACACACACTATCCCACATAGACCAGAGTATCTTGTCCCTCTGTACCCTTCATCTTCTTTCAGCAAACTCTTAATCAGAATTCCTCTACAACTCTGTTTCCTAGCATCCCCACCCCCCACTGCTGCCCTCAGTCAATCTCATACTGACCCTAGCTTTCATAAGCAGAAGCCTTAGGGCAGAAGGGAGACTGAAGGACACAAGACCAGATCCCCATGCCTTCACCCCCATTCCCGTTAGTTTCCTGGTTCTTTGAGTTTTCTTTACAGCCCTGATGAAGTGCTGTGGAGTTGAGGTCTGCAGAAATATGGGTGGCAGTATGAGGCACTTAGCCTCCCAGATGCACACCTGGGTTCCTGTGCCTCTCCCATGGGGGTGGGCCACTAGGACTCCCCTCAGTCCCCAGCTTTTTATGACCCATCTGCCAATAAACCAGTCTCCCCCCTCTTCTGTTCAGAGCCATAAAACCAGTGTGTGTGTGTGGGGTGGGGAGAACATTGCCAAGTCACTAGGGAATAAGAGAGGGCCTGGTTCCCTGGAGTCGAAGTGTGTGTGGGGGTAAAGACCTCAGTGGGGGAGGGGAAGAGGGAGTCACCTGACCCCAGGAAGAGCTGGGGGTGGGGGGAGCTAGTATTGGCCTGGATTTTCCAGGCCATAAAATTTCAAAGCAGTTCATGTCTATTAACATGTTCATCTTCCGTTTGGCCAGGGGCTCAGGATGCCTGTGTCCTCCCCACCCTCCATCTCTTTCTTTCTCCCTAGGTATTCCCTCTCTCCCCTACAGTCCAGCTGCGGTAGGGGCGGGTGAATAAGGGATGGAACACTGAGGTTAGAGTAGCCAAATAGGCGTCTTTAGTTCCCAAGCGCAATGAAGTTGAGTTCTCTGAGCTGGGTCAGTACCAAGAAAGCACAGCTTTTCCAGCCCCTTGGGATACCCGGTGTGAGACGAGGCTCGGGATGGAAAAGGCTGCCACCTGAGCTGCCAGGAGGGATACTAGGCTCTGCGATCCTATTCCTGAGAGAGGGAGAGGAGCACTCAGTTCTCTGCAGCCGGTGGGCACGTTGCGGAACACCGGGTGGAGAGTAGGTGCCAAGGCCACTGGGAGGCAGATAGCACTGCAGTCCAGCCGGGACTGCGGGGGTCCCGGAGAGTCTCGATTCTGTTCTTCAGCTTCCCCACCACGGCCCTTCAGGACAGAGTTTCTGTCCGGGGCCCTCCACTGCGGGCCCCGGCTTCCCCGGACTCCTTCGACACGGGTCTTTAACGCGCACCGGGGATAGGAGGCCGTATCTCGAAACCCGCCCGGTTTGCCCGCCCCTCACCCTCCACCTCCGGGAACGGGGCGTGCACTCAACTCCTCAGCCCCTCTCTACCGCTGGAAAAACTTCTATTGAGTAGCCCCCGCTCCTCAATCCATCAAGTTTTCTCAGAAAAGGCTTCTGGGCCGGGGCAGCCAGGAGCGCTCCGCTTGGGAGCGGAAGGCGCCGTTCCCGCAGCCAGAGCCAGCACCCCACTGCCCACGCCCCGCAGCCCACTTACTCTCCTGGGCCATACTAATGACAGTTTCGGTGGTGGCGTGGTACTCGTCCTCCTCCAGGAAGTCCTCGGGCTGCAGCGCGTCGCCCTGGAAGTCGTGCAGGTCCAGGATCTGCTGCAGCGGCGGCGCCTTGGGTAGCAGCTGCTTCACCACCTCGCGGCTGATGTTGGGCGCCTCCTTGAGCCGCAGTTTGCTCAAGATCTGCGACTTGATGCTCTCCAGGCGCAGCTCGCGGCTGTGCTGCCGCCACACGCACACCGGGCAGCCGTCCGGCTCGGGCGCCACGGACGGGGCTGGCCGGCTGGAGCGCTCCCCCCCGGCCCCCGCTGCCGCCGCCGCCGCCGCCGGCGCCGCGGGGCCCTCGGCCGCCTCCCCCCGGGGCCGCAGCTCCAGGGCGAGGAGCAGGAAGCCCAGCAGCAGCGGGGCCGCGAGCACCATGCTGGAGGGGAGGGGAGGGAGGACTGGGGGGCGGGG